GGCTTCCAAACAACAGAAACCACATCTCAGCATTCTTCTGGAGGCTGGAAGTCCAAGATCAAGAACCATTTCCTGGTTCACAGATGGTGCCATCTCATGGTGTCCTCACAAGGTGGAAGGGGCTAGCTAGCTCTTTTTGCTCTTTTATAAGGGCACTAATCCCACTAAGAGGCCTCCACCCTCATGATCCAGTCACCTCCCGAAGGCCCCACCTCCTAACACCATCACCTTGCTGAGGTGAAACGTTTTAATTTGGCCAGGGGCAAGGGCAGGGGTATGGGGAGTGTTAGGTGAGGGGACCACACTTTCAGGCCATAGCATATGCCATAATATGACAAAGATTAAACTTTAATCTATGCTACCTACACACCCAGCTAACATTACTTCAGAAGAATAACCCTCCAGCCCCACAACAGCTTTTTCCAGGGGGGGACCCCAAGTCTTCTCACCCACTGGGGCCTCTTGGGACATCCACTGTGATATGAGGGTTCTAGGAAGTAAGTAATTAAAAAGTAGTCATTTGTTGATAGGGTGAACAAGTAATTAACCACCCAAACCTGAACACTTTGTGACAAGAGGAGCTGTTAATCATTGTGTTGCGACAACAGCCTGTCCTTGGCAAACGAGAATGTTTGGTCACCTCTATTTTTTCAGCCCTTTTTATGTGATGGGGGTTAACTCAGGTCACTTAATTCCCACAGTAACTCCGGTAAGCAGATGTAATTATTCCCATTTGACAAATGATGAGTTGCGGGAGCAGAGCTGGCATCCTGCTACATTCCTTTGCCAACTACAGCATCTCCTCTCCATGTTCATGTTAAAGCCCGTGTTGATGCTTAAGGCATCGGCCACTCCACTTTGCACCTTCCCAGTTGCTGACATCTACCCGCTGCTGCCTCCCCCATATTAAAGGCTTTGGCAGCTGTGACAGTCCCACTGGTCAGCTCTGAAGTCCAAAGCCCCATCATCCCCTAACCTCTTCCACTCTTGGGTGTTGTACCTCACTGCCTCTCAGTTACCCGCTGCCATGGCACTCCCTGCACCTTCTCTCAGGTTCCTGTTCTCCTATGTTTCATGCCTTCATACACCTAGTCAGTGGTGTGCTGATAAATGTTTAACAACCTGTTCTGTGGGAAATAACGTATGGCTGTATATACATATGTACATTTATTAGAAATTTACTGATATAAAAGATGAGTAGCATACAATGTACAAATAATAAAGTATCCAATTCTCTTTATTGTAAATTCTATCGGGCTAGTTGATGCTCCCAGTATGCTTTTGTTTTTTGCTGAACTTTTTTATCTGCAGCCAACCTATGGCAGCAATTTGGCCAGGATGTGACAAATAGACTTGCATCCCAATCCACTAACTCTTTCCTCAGTAGTTTATTTTCTCAACAAGTTTAACGGATAGGAATTAAAGAATTTTTCACATTCATTCAAATTATTCATGAAGCTCAAACTTAGTTCAGCTTCAGCACAGCAGGAGCACACCATTACAGGGTCCCCAGTGTGCAGGTGCGACCGACATAGATAACCTCCACAGCAGACAAGAGGAAAATGTAGTACAGCAACTAGGAAGCGATGGCTTTTGAGTAGTTACTCCCTTTGTTTCTAAATATAATTTATTTAACAGTAAGTCTATCTAACTTAATTGTCAACAATGGAGATACTTAAAACGGGCTCACAAAATTCCTACAAGTTTAACCACCCATTCTAATGAACCAGCACACCACTAAGACCCCCTCAACATCAGTCTTTTCCTCTCCTCTCCTCCTTCTCTATCTTGCAGAGCCAAGAAAGGGCCCATGGAGTTAGCCAGAGTTGACTCTAGACTGGGGTGAGGTCAAGGTCAAGTAAGCCAAAATGTCTCTAAATTTCCTTACCACAGGTCCATGGTGGGAAACTTCTTGGGAAATAAACATCACAACTCGCTTGTATTGGGCACATAACAGGCTTACGACTTACTATTGCTAGTACTTCTGGAGTTGCTGAGAAAAGCCCAGCCTACTCTCTCTCGGAGTATGGGTCTGCGCGACTGTTTCCATACTCCCCTGCTTAAGAGATGGAGAACAGCAAAGGGGAATGCAGAAAAACGTTGAAATTAAACCCAGCAACTCTCCCACTGACCCTGCAGGGAGATGCAGACTGTCCACAGCTCCACACATCCCCAAGGCCTACTATTAGCTAAGCCGACACCAATTCTCATGCACAGTCTTTCCTCCTGACACAGGAAAATTACCTCACCCTTCTGATCCTCACATCACACCTGTGAGGCAGGTAGGAGGGATTCTCAATTTACCTATCAATGGGGAAATCACCACCCTAGCATCAGAGACACTTACCACTCTTCAGACTCTGCAAGTGTGCCTGACATCAGCACAAACTAAACAGTGGATGTCTCTGGTTTATTCTGGAACCAAGTACTAACGTGCAAATGGACCTCCCCTCTAACCCGAGTCATCTGGGAGAAAACCCTGGTTTAGTGTAAAGTAGCTCACAGTGAGTACTACTCTAAGCAGCCATCATAGCTAAGGTCATCCAACTTGGGCAGCAATTTAGCAATGTTACAACCCCAAGAATGTTTGCAGAATCTCCTGCAACTACAAAAACCCAACATAGCTCCTATGCTATCATCTGCAACTTTTATTTTTGTGGGAATTCTGAAGGTTGCTTGTCTGGGGACTGGAACTCAAGGAAGTAAAATATAAAGAATAAATAACAAGCCATCACGAAGTTACCCTCTTCTTCCTGAAGGATGTAAATCTCCACTTTCCACCAGCGGCTTCCAGTGCAAATAAGACTTTCACTTTTGGAAGATATGAACATAAACACTGTACTAATGGCAAGAAATTTCCTTCAACTGTTGAGTTCATGGGGAATACTGAGGCCAGAGGTGGGGAGTGCAGATGGACACTGTCCTGCCACCAGTCGGGCTAAGAAAAGTTGGCCTAAGTCCAAGAAAGTTGGCCCTGATCTTTTTCCCGTTCTTCCTGTAACAGGTGAATGCCTCCTCAGTATGGAGCTTCCTCCTCTCACACCCATATTGCCAAAGCCAGACACCCGCACAAAAAGCTCCTCTCCCAGTTGGCTTCAAAAACTAAAGTTCTATCTGGGCCGGCCCGGTGGCGCACTGGATAAGTGCGCCGCTTGGGGAGTGCAGTGGTGCTCCCGCCCGAGTGTTCGGATCCCACATACAGACCGGTTCCCGCTCACTGGCTGAGCGAGGCACGGGGGCAACGTCGAGGGTTGCGATCCCGTTGCCGGTCCCCGGTCCGGTACGGGGGCAACACTGAGGGTTGCGATCCGTTGCCGGACACGGAAAAAGACAAAAGACAAAAAAAAAAAAAAACTAAAGTTCTATCAACTTCAAGATGCCCAATGACACTCTGTAGATTCCTCTAGTCAAAGGATCCCGAGGCCGAAGGCCTAAAGCTCCACTTCACGTCTGGTATGTATCCCCCCGTCCCCACCAGGATTATGTGCTTTTCCTCCTTCCTTCATCCCAGCATACACCCACCACCCCTTCCATTCCACTGGAAATTATATTTTTTCCAGTTAAAGTCAAAAACACCCTAGAGTCCATGTGTATGTTACCAGAGCAATCTTTCCACCAAAATAATGAAATAAATTATAATAAGGAAACCTACTATGAATACACCATTTCAGAGGCCATAGCCCAGCTGCAGGCTCATAGGCCATAATGAGCACTATCAAGTGATACAATGTGTCTGTGACGGAGTCTACTTCAGAGATTAACACTTAAGTGTGATACATCCCCTGGAATAGCCCTCCACTTATCTAACCTAACCATACCACACCAACCAGCTTAAGTTTAATTAGTACCACCATTGTTATAGGTCACTTCAAACATGGAGAAACAAAAGTCCTCTAGTGTGGCTGGTTCACAGGCCAAGAAACAATCTTAGGTACATAACCAGATCCTATTATCATCTCTGGTCACAGCAGGGTCCTAGACACTGTCCAAGGAAGGAAGTCTCTCCCCCTAAGGAGTTAAGCACAGAGCTCCTCCCACCAGGATCTATCAGAGAAACCTGCCTGCTGTGTTGCTTCCTCTTATCAAATGTAAAACTCAGGAACTGTTCTTTAAAAATGACATTAGATGCATGCTTTTATGCACATACACGAAGGGTTACGAAAGGACAGCCAGTTGGAGTTCTGGCGGTACAATCAAGGCATTTTTCTGCATTTGGACTAGATCAACAGTTTTCAAACTGATCTGTGCATGAGCCCCAGGGTCTGAGAGTAGATGCTTTTATCTGTTCTATACACTAGGCTTCTGACTACTGTCTTTTAAAGAAAGATTGACCTTCTAGTGTCCTAACAGGTAAATAAAACAGGTCAACATTAGAATAACCTACTTCCTTGCTACTCAAACTCATTCATTCACTTGCCTAGTCAAAGAATAAGAATTAAGGAGAAACTGTGCTTCATCCTTTTTAAACATGTTAGTCTAATCCCCAGCTCATTCCATAGACATTTTCTGAAACAGAGCAAACATATAAACGTGTGATCTGCAGCCACTTAAAAGGGTTGATCCTCCTCCTTCAGCAAGGTGTGTAGCAGTGACAAGAGCCCTGGAAAGCCACTGACTTCACACTGTCCACAGCATTTGCTCTGTGACCTCCTGGCCAGGAGGCTTCTAACCTACCCTTAAGGTGTTTTTACCTTTAGCACAGTCTGTTCCGATGTGAGATTTAATATGCCTAGTAATTACTGGACCGGATGCAATTGCAGACATTCCAAAGGTAAAGTACTCCAGGGTTGTTTGTTATCAGGGATTGAACTTGTCCTTCATCTCAGGGGGGCTATGGTTTGGTCCCAGAGGGACTGTTCCCTTTTTCCTCCAAAAGAAATGCCAGATTTGAATAAACCATGACACTGTGACTTACAAAGTTTTACTCAAGTACTTGATAGCTAAATGAAAAATTCCTAATAAAGAGCTTATTCAGCACTACTAGAAAAGAAAGACACCAAACGACTTAAACATAATTTATGTACATTTATGGCTTTATACAATTATAGCAAAGATTGTTCTTGTGTCTGCAAGTACATCAGCAACATCAGGCACTTCTCAGAGAGTATCAGAACAGGAACGTAGATCTGCACTGTTACTAAACTTGGGTAGTGAAATGTGGAGGGCATGACTACATCCTGATGGGACTTACATGGCCACCCCTGGCCATAATGCCAGGCAGTGCCCACCTCAAGGAGGGGCCAACTGTAATGCTAGGCTGCTTTTGTTTGCATAAACCACATTGTATTTTTTACTGAATGATTACTCCCAAACTAAAACCACAGAAGAAACTTCTCTCTTAAAATCGGTTATAAATTAAGAACTCTTAAGAGCTGAATGTAAGAATTTTAAATTGGGACTGGGGAGAGGGGTGGAAAGGGAAGTGTTGTTAACATATATCCAGCAGTTTAGTAAGTACAAATTGTGTACCTTTGAAGAACTGTTTCCATTTTAACTGTCCTATCCCCTTCTTGGGATGTCCCATTGATTTACTGCTCACTGGGATACAACATTTGCTAATTTAGACTTTGTCAATTTGTCAAAGCAGAACTTTCCAAGTAATGCATCTATTACCTAAATATATTCCATACATCTATATTATGGAAACAATACATCTTTATACTTAAAATATCTGAATAGCTCTATAATACAATATGCTTTTAATAACAGTACAAACCGGAGGGAAAAAATGAAACAAGTCTGCATAGGTGATATTTGCACACTTCACAAAGCAATCATGTACAATAACTGATATACTAATTACTCCAGAAAGTCAGTATTCTTACAGAAAAATAACAATCAGAGGCCACATAATGTTTGCTTTCAAAAAAGACAAGATGCCTTTCCCTGGACTTCAATGCACCCCCAGAGAGCTGCTCAGGATTCATGTTAGGATTTCAACCAAAGAAAATTTGGGGGGGAAAGGGAAAATATTTACACAAACTAAGGAGGAAGAAACATCTTTCTAAAAGTCACTCTATGAAATAGTAAAATTTTAACAGTGATTTTAGCTGTAGATGCCTCTGTACTGAACAAATGGGGACTCTGAGGCTCCTGTGTAATAGTGGTCATGGTACGGAAGGTGAGTGACAGCACGTGGTAACAGAAACGAGAACACGAGTACTTTGGCACCAACAAATTCTACTACATATGCAGCAGACACTACTTCGGGGAACCAAGGTTTCTAAATCCAGCCATAATTTGTAGTGCCCAACAATGAAGATGGTCAGAGTTGGTGGCTGTTCAATGAATTTTTGAAATAAGTCACAGTGGGAAGCTTACAAAAAGAGCTGGCCTATTATAGGAAGTCTATCAGGAACTCTTGTGTTCTCATAGAACATGTAAGGAAAAACCAAGGCAACGAAGATGCAATTAACATATAAGACAAAGCAAGTGTGATTTGGGGCTATGTACAAAGAAAGAGCCTTCTCAAGAAGGCAAGAGGAACATTGTTGTGCGCCTCTTCCTTTTACTGTGATGACTCTGACCATTCCACATGACTTGAAAATACTAATGGACTGAATGGACACAAGGCCAAATAACTTGGACTGTCAGATACAGGTATTTGGAAAGCATTTAAATACAATGATTGGAATTATAGTTTAGGGTAGGTACTAAAGGCTGAAGAAATTCTCAAATTTTTAACTTAAGCTAAGACTTGTAAAATAAATCAAAATGTACAACCTACAGCTGATTTGCTGGTTTTCAAATTAATTGCCTCAATTGTTAAACAGGTTCTATTCCATTTGGTAACCATCTGTACTTGTGAACACAAAGCATTCTACAAATCACTGAACTGAAACTTTGACAGTGTGCTAAGTAACCCACAGGACAGAAGGAAGAAGGAGGAAGAGTGGTGACAGAATTCCTCAAGGCAGAGCTACAAAACCAACTTCCACCTGGACCGAAATCAGAGCACAGAATTATGAGGAGAAACTTCTGCTGAAGCACAACTCAAAAAGGTTATGTCAACCAAAACCCCCAGTTTGACAAAGGAACACTGTTTTAAATGTAGGTTTCCCTTTCTGATCAACAAACATTATGAGGCCTCCCAGAAGTAACTGGAACAATACTGCACACCAGATCTATCAGAAGACAGGACACCATGTGGTGTACATAGTTCACAGGGTAATAAAAGTAGATGAAATTTCTTTAAAATACATATAAAAAACATATTAGGTTCTCCTAAATATGAAACACAAGTGTCCATAACTATACATCACTTTTCTGCCCAAACAGGGCCAGAAACGTTGAGTATGCAAGTACTAATTACAATGATTTAAGATTAGTCAGAAACATCACCAAGTAGCATCCCAAAGTGTACAAACCAGTTAAGCACGTATAAAATTAGTACTAATCCAGTTAGAAATACAAAATGAAAATTATGAATGCTGCCCCAAATACCTGTGATTCCACAAATTTACAAGCAGACTATGTAACAAAGTAGACTCTAATTATAAGAAAACATTACAGTTCAATATCTATTCCAAAAATGATCTCAAGTCCCAACAATAACATCAAAAAATCATTTATCTGGAAATTGGAACCATTTAAATGTTTGTACAAATCTGCAAATAACAAAATAAACAAACAAAAAATAGAAAAGACCTGTACAAGGCCGGCATTTAATCCCCCCCCCCCACCTCGCCCCAAGTTTGACAAGTCCGTTAACTCAGCAGATTGATAACAGGCTATTTGGTTCTCATGTAAATCATGTGGCAACATGAACAGGTCCAAAGCTGCTCAGTGGAGCTGCAGATGGAGATCTTGGTTCTCTGTGATTCATCAGTTCCACAGAACACAGGTAGTACAAACAAAAGTTTAACTTACCAAGACATGAGACCATCACAGTATTACAAAAAGTGTATAAACTTTCCTTGGACCAAATGGATATTTTAAAAAACGAAAACACACACATATACAATTCTGTATCAACTGCTTATATACAAAACTTGAAAGCACACCAGGATCCAAAAGTCTTTTCTGCAATTATATGGTGTAGTAAGTTTGGCACTTCATTGTAATGAAATTTCCAATGGCACAGTCCTTATCTACAGCAGCACATAACCTGCAAACATCGGGCAAACATCCTGTACAGGAAAAGTGTCTTTGCTGCCAAGTTTGACAAAAGAAAAAAAGGAACTTTTTTTTTTTAAATCAAGAAAACTAAAAGGAGGGGTGAAGGACATCTTTGGACTGCTTCTCTCAGTTCCTGGTGTCAGACAATCTGAAGTACTTTTAAGTGTAGCCTAGGGGGGAAAAAAAAACATACACACACAATGAAAATATAGCTGAATTAAGACGAATTCAATTTAACATACTACAGTGACAGGCACACTTCAGGGAGAAAAGCTAGAGCTTTCTCAAGCAGCTCTAAAATCATTCAATGGGGAATATTCTACTTTATAAAAAATCCTTTAATATGTATAATCAATTACATTTCAATAAAAAAAAACACCCTCCAGCATTTGATTTGTATCAAATATAGTTATTTATTGAAGAGCTACTAAACTAAAAAAGATGCAGACATCTGTCAAAAGAAAATCTTTAAAGCAGTCAAAAGAAGCTTCCTTAACTTTAAGCTCAAAAGGAAAATTGATAAGCTGCAAAAAGTGTGGAGAATGAATAATAAAAGATGTCTCTGCAAGGAGGCAGTCAGTTGACGTCAAAAAAAGGTCCTAACCATGGAAGATACGTGGAAAGTTACTGTGTTCTTGTCTTTTAAGTTCTGTTATCAAAAGGTCTTTTGATATTGGGGTGAACTTACCTGCTCACTTTTTCTCAGCCTGACACCCAGCTATGTGTTGTTGTCTTGACACTGTGCGGGAAGCTTTGGTTGGGCAACACACTGTCGAAGTTAAAATCCAATGTATCTCCATCCATGAGGTCATTCCGAATGATGGACTCCATGTCACAGTCCAAGCGCTCAATAAACATGCCATCCAAGTCACTTGGGAGCTTCTCCTGGTGGAGAATGCCCATCCTGCCATAGCCGTTACAGCTGCTCACCGAGGAGTAGCCTCCCAGGGCATTCATCTGCATGGGGTGGGGCAGAGGCACTTGTAAAGGTGTCTTCACCGGGGTCAAGCGGTTCATACCCGAAGTGTGAGGCATGGTGTTCACTGCATGGGGCAGGGCACGCCCATTAACGGTGGACGTTTGCTGAGCATGTCCAGGGTGGGTATGGGAGCTGGGATTCATCATTTTGTTATGAGATGCCTGGCTGCCATAGGTGGGCATGACTGAATTAGGGCCCATCATCACATTCTGGCCCAGGACACGGCTGTTGGGTTGGGCCACGCCAGGATCAACTGGTGTCATGATATCATTATGGGGAGGAGAATCAGAAGTAAGTAACTCCTTCAAGAGTCCCGGTGCACAGTTGTACTGATTCATACCTCCGTAACTCGATTTGTTGTCCTGAAGTGCTTGCATAGGCATCTGGGGCAAGGGGCTCATGCTGGACTGGCCATAGGTGTATTTTTGGTAGTTTGGGCTGGGCGAATTCAGACTGGTGTTTGGCGGTGCAAACGAGTAGCAGGGCGTCTGCTGCATCATGCTGCCAGGTGAGGACTGGGTCGAAACAGTTAATGGTGTCGGTGATGAGAGAAGATTGAGATTATCCAGGAGGTTTTCCATGTTTTCAGGATTGCTTATCTCAGACAGACTGGGTAGAGTAGAAGCCATCTTTGCGGCCGATGGGGGGTACACCATGGAGTGCACATCCCCATCTCCAAGATCATCCTGTTCAGTCATAATGGGAGAGAGCCTCCCACTAATAGTACTAGCGTTTGAGCTAGTTCGAGGGCGAAATGTACTCCAGTTATCAAAGTCGTCATTGCTGTGAGAGCCAGGGCTTGCAGGCCATTTGGAAAACTGAGAGCCAGGGCTATCCCCAGCACCCTCCTGGCCAGACTGGAGAGATGCTTTTTTCTTGGCAGCTCGGCCTCGGCTCTTAGCAAATTTACTGTTGTTGTCCATGGATGCAGCTCTTCTCCTGGGGGACTTTCCACTCTTGCCTCCCTCTGGATTGAGCATCCACCAAGAACTTTTTCCAGTTCCTTCATTCTGCACACGAATGAACTTGTTGTGTAGGGACAGATTATGACGAATTGAATTCTGTAAAACAAAACATCATGTTATAAGTACAGTACTTCTCCACTGGAAAACTTAGTCTCTGACATGTATTACGTGGAAAACAAGTAAAATTTTAAGTGAGTTTATGGTACAGATTTCAATCTGAACATATAATGGTTCTAAAGCCACTAAAAAAGATCTCAAACCAGCATAGGACAATGGTATCTTATCTTAAAAACAGTATTTATATCTTAATTTAATGAGAGGACAAAATTATTAAAAAAGCATTACTATATACCCCTTCTTTTTCACAGCTATAATTTATAGGGAAGTAACAAAAACTGATTTTAAAACCCCTTAAATTTTGCTTATGCAAATAAGCAACAATGCTATGCAAATAGCACTCTGTATCAAAATGCTATCAAAAACCTTTCCATTCTATTACCCCTAAAACCACTGCGAATTCTTTCAGATTGAACATCTGCCATTTTCACAAAGTAAGAAGTTCTATATTACTGTGCCCCCATGATTATGGAAAAGAAAAAGATGAAGCAGGATATATTCCTGGTCAAGAATTAAAAGCCCCCAAAACTTGTAAGACCTAGATTCATTTACACCTTTAAAGCCTATTAGGTAAATATTAGTGAATGTAAGAAAAAGGGTCATTTTGGGCCAGCCCGTGGCTCACTCAGGAGAGTGCGGTGCTGATGACACCCCCCGGGTTCAGATCCCTTATAGGGATGGCCGGTTTGCTCACTGGCTGAGCGTGGTGCTGACAACACCAAGTCAAGGGTTAAGATCCCCTCACCGGTCATCTTTTAAAAAAAAAAAAGAAAAAGGGTCATTTTATCTTTTTAATTTGAGAAAATTGACCTGACAAAAAAAGAAAATTTAAATTCAATTAGTATCCCACCCCGCCTCCTCCAAATAACCAGTAGTATGAGTAGTAAGCACCAGCTAACTCTATGACAAGGTATTAGGAGTTACTTTCTGTACAAAAAGACAACTTCGGGGGGTGGGGAAGTGGTGGAGAAGGCAAAGAGCTGGAGACTTCAAGCTAAGTACAGCTTTATGACTAATTGTGCCATGTGTACCCCTAGGCCGATTAGTAAAGAAAATCAACCCTTTTTTTGAGCACTTAAGTGGCTCTGCTATTTACTACTTACATGACCTTCACATGCTGCTTAGCCCCTACGTGCCTTAAGTTTCCTCATCTGTAAAACGGGGTAAAATAATAGAACCTTGTAGGGTTGTTATACGGATTACATGAGATATAAAAGAACGCTCAGCAGTACTTGCATATAATAAGCAGTCACGATGACAGAATGACTAGATCCCAACTCATGGGGGGTGGGGGTGGGGAACAACACAGGATACCACCATTCTGCATCCTGCTTCTCTGTTCCCATTCAGTGGGATATGGGTAGGAGCTTAGAGGTACTACAAATACAAACCCACAACTGCTAATAGACGGTAGAAGGGGCCAGAGGCAGTCTCTTAAGCTTCAGAAGAAACACTGGAGACAGGCTGCAGATGAAGAAGCCCCAGTTTGACTCATCTACTCAACATATGGCTAGATACACAGTGATAAGGCATTTCGGAGAGCCTGTGGGACATACCTGGAAAAAGAAAAGTGGGAAACACGCTGGGCACCTAAGGGGGACCCTATCTTATAACTTTTTGCCACCAACACCACACAGAGCACACAGTCACCATCTGCTCATTCAGCAGCCTCTGTCCTCAGGGTCCTGATCCCAAGTCCAGGAACAGGATTCCAGGTGCCTGGAAGCGGGGCTGTGCACACAGCCACCAGGCTTCCTTGATGGTCTCTGCCAACTGGGTGCAAAACTCGGCTGATCGAGCACCTTGCATCCCTGTGGCCCCTCTCCCTGACCACAAAAAGGCTCTGGCTGGATTTGTGGTCACCCAGGGATGCAGCCACAACACCCACATCCTCATGCCATTGACACAGGACGCAGAGGCCTGAGAGCCAACCACTGCACCAGAACAGAGCCTCCACAAAGCAGAATGAGGCCGGGTTCTAATTCAGGCCATGGGCTCAAGGCTTTTCTCATAAAAGGAAGAAAAGCAGAAAGTTGGGAGGGGAGGAGCGGGTACAGATTTCACTTTCTAAAAGGAGACATGAAAATCAAAATGCGGGCTGACAGAGCTGAGAAATCCACATTTCAAAATGCCCTCTGGCCCTCTGTACTGCATTCTATACAAGGATTTCAGCACAACGGCGATGTGATGAGCCCTCTGCCAGGGCACACACAGCAAGCGTGGTCACAAAGGGCCTGGACAGGAGCATCCTGGCATGATGCTGGGCAGGTGTGTGAGCTCACGGCAGCATCTGTCTCCCCTCTTTCTCCACACCTATGATCTATCCCCCAAGACCCACTGTGTAAGGACGACCTGGGCTTTAACTCCATACAAGAATCACTCAAAGAAAGAGGCTGACGACTGCATCTCCTGCATCTCCCTTGTGTCCTATTTATTTCCCATCGGATTCCCAAAATCCTCTGGGAAGGTCCTACTCATATACATGCATGCTCACAAAGCCACAGCTCATCTGTTGTGCCCACCAACACCAGCAAATTGAGTCAACAGCTCCCCCTTAAAAGAAGCAGGCCTGCCCCCAGGGGTAGCACTGGAATGCAGCCCAGAACTCTGGCCCTGCAACGATTTGGAAGACTGCACCTTTGCACAATATTCCATCATGACAATTTTGTTCTGTGAACACAACAGACACACAGATAAGCTCCGATGACATCTCTGGAGGAGAGGAAGCTTGACTCCTGTCTCTGTCACATTTAGTTAGTGATAAAGGGGGAAGAAAGATCTTCCCAGATAGTAGCTTCCTGGCCGTCTGCATCAACTTAGGGATGGGATGCAGCGCTACAACAGCCAAGATGATTCTGTCAGATCATTGGCAAGTGCAGCTGGAGGACATTTTAAACAAGACTGCAGAAGACACAACAATAAAGTCTTTTAAAAGGTCCAGGGGTGTTCACTAACTCAGGTGGAACATACACTAATTCACTACTTAGACTTTTTAAAAAGCCACAGCAATCTTTTACTTATCAAAATAGCATATTATGGGCCGGCCCGGTGGCGCACAGTGCGCCGCTTGGGAGTACGGCGGCGCTCCCGCCGAGGGTTCGGATCCCACATACAGACCAGCCGCTCACTGGCTGAGCGAGGTGCGGGCGCAACACCGAGGGTTGCGATCCTGTTGCCGGTCCCGGTCCGGTACGGGCGCGACACTGAGGGTTGCGATCCGTTGCCGGTCACGAAAAAAGACAAAAAGGAAAAAAAAATAGCATATTATGTATTTTTCTAAGAGGACATTTCAGGTCGCTGTTTGAGTAACAGAGCTGTCTCCTAACTTCGCCAACAATTAAAAAATTTTTTTCCCAAACAGGAAAAGGTTTGCTGTGCAGAGCTTGTTACATAAATTCCTGTTTTTCACACAGCCCGCAGGACATTAAAGAAGTTACGATTTCTACAGGGTGGGGTTTGAAAAGGTAAATCCTGTAGAACTGTGTGTTGCTATGGATAATGTTGTGTCTGCACTTCTCTGCTGGACACAGTGGAGGCTGGACGAAAGAGCAGTTCACCCCAGGGACTCTGTAACAGACAGGTGCGACTTCTGGGGCTCTGGGAGAGTCTGTTCTCAAATTCTCAACAAATACGAGAAAAGAGGCAGGATGTGAGGACAGAGGCTCATGCATTGTCAGTCAGCTACCCAAACCTTGTGTTTCTGCAGGACACCAAAGAGAGAGATCTGCGGACGCAGTGCTGGCTTTCCAGGGCTACCCACGAGCCTCCACACACATCCCGGCTGCCATCGACGTGCCTGGCCACCCCAGGCAGCACAGCCTGTTCTTCTTGGGCAGCCTGGCTCAACAAGCTCCACACCTTTGGGGGGAGGGAATACCCCGGACAGGGTGTTCTTGCTATTCAACCTGCTCTCCTGGCTGCTCTTGGGCCTTCTCATCTATGTGCTCTACATGTAGACCAGATTTCGAGCAAGGAGGCTAAGCTCATTTCTAATTTCATGGCCCCAATGGATGCTCTGCACACAAGATATATTCAATAAATATTTGTTGACTGACACCCCAAAAATGCTGCAGAGAAGATGTATGTCTTACACATTACATGCCTTTTACTCATCCACTCATGTACCAGTTCATGCCAACCAGCACTATTAGAACCTATTTTGTGGTAGGAGCAGCAAAAGACACAAGAAGGAATTAGACACAGAGCCTGCCATCCAGAAGTTTTATGATCCACCTGGGGAAAGAACAACTCCACATAAGGAACCACTCAACAGGACAGAAACTGACACACATAGGACTGTCCAGGAGCCTGGACCTTTTCCCCCAAAGGTCACCACCCGCCTACCCCCACACACAGCTTCTGCTCAGCTTAACTGTCCCTTCCTTCCAGAAGCATTTCTCGGTGCCCCATCTCAGCCTGCAGCCAGCCTCTAACACAGGCCTTGTTTGCTCACCACAGTTTACACCTGTGCTACATCTCGTCCCAAAGGGCGGGGGGGGGGGGGGGCCC